CTTTCCTGCTCCTCTGATGCTGCTTGGCCTGCTGTGTTCATCCAGCTATACACCTTGTTATCTCAGATTCTCCAGCATCTGCAGTTCCTACTATCTCTGGTAAAAGCAGCTATTCAGTTGGATTTTGATATCAAATGACACTGTTTTTGGTGTGGGGGTGCAAAAAGGTTCCATCCTGTAGTGTCTGTGCAGCTTTGTTAGCCGTCACACCTGACTGCACCTTTGAATGGAATGTCAGTCTTGTTTGAATGGGGTTGTTTACATAGCGTGTTATGCGTGAGTGCACTTTCAAGTGGGCTGTAACCGCAAATTGAAGTGGTTGTAACCTGATATGGTAGCGAACCCCTGAATTAGTTTGAATGGGACATGGCTAGTACATGGAAATCTGCAGTTAGTATTGTAACCACGAATTAGTGGGTTAATGGATTAATAGACATAATTTATGGAGTTATATTAAAAGTTGTTAACACATTTGAATTCCGATATATCAGTATGTTAGACCACCATCCAAGGCAAAGTCCACAGAAATAGTTTGTTCAAGAATTCTGTTGGCCATAGATTTCCATGACCTTTCAGGTTATTGGAAAGATGAAGTTCTATCTAATCACTAGAACTCTTAAATTATTATACAAATTTACTGTAGACTCCACTGCTGTGTTGAATAAGTTTAAACTTACTGTACAGTTGGTTTTGCTATCTGCAATAGTTGCGTTCCTGCGCAACATCGTGTTATACAAAATTGTGCTGTAGAAATAATGGGGCCAATGGGAAAAGCAGGGTTGGGGCAGACCACCAAAAAATTATCACTTAAAATCACTCAAATGCCGAACACCAAAGGTAACGCAGTTTGAATAAATGATTAATTCATATCTAGTAATGAAACAAAAGTAAATTTAACACCTTACCTTGGGGGGAAAAAATGTCAAGATGACTTAATAGAGAAGGAGGTTTTGAGGTTGCTTTGTTGCTCGTGTTGATCATGTGATGCCAGCAAGGAGACTGTTTGTTTGTTTGTTTGTGTGCTAACATTGTACATGCTCAGGACAAAGCCCATGAAACGATCGTGTGATGTCGACGCGTACTCCTCCGCACACTGGAATTGCGTTATAGCCAACACAAGTTTGAATTTCAGAAATATGAGTTCCCATTATAGCCAATCCGCATTGCTGGAACACACGTTATAGCAGAACCGACTGTACTAAGAGTTTTCTTTCTTAAGTTACTCTAGATATTTTAAAAACCGTAAAACCCAGAACTGTTGAGTTCCTGTTCTTAATAGCTACTTTATCAGGTCTACATTCATTCTTGTCTGATTAGACTTCTCTAAAGCACCTATTCTTATGTTAAATTGCAATATAAATGCAAGTGTTCAGATCAGAAAATCTATAATTTGCTGGAGATGCAAAATACTGATGCGATTACTTTCATTACTTTATTTTAAATAATGCATGTGACTAAACGTGATCTGTAAACAGCATTTGGACACAGTTAAGAAAATTTAGCAATGGTTAATAGCACTAATTTAAAAGCAGAGTTAATGGTGCTGGACTGTAGCAACAAAACACTTTTCACTGTATTTTCCTAAATGTGACAATAAAAATCATTCATTCATTACTCAGCACAGGGGGAAGAAGGGGCAATTTGAGCATGCTGTCCAAAATGTTGCCAGACCTGGTGGCAACAAAATATTTTTCACTCTATTTTCCCAAATACATATGACAATAAAAATCATTCATTCTTTCCAAAAAAATAGAAATGAGCTGATATTTGGATGCAAATTATGTACAGTTCCCCCATTAAGGATAATTTGACTTCTGGGCTCCTGTTGCTGGCTTTCTGATACTTTCTTTCCCTTGCAGATCCACTCCCCGCCCTGCCCTGCCCTCACCCACTGCCGCTCTTTCTCTCTTCTTCCATCCCTCCCCACTCCATCCTACATAATCAGCTTCTGTGCTTGTCTGGACAGTTGAGATGTTGCTCCAGATCAATGATTGAAAATGAAACTGTTTTAGTTTTTATTTCTAATGTTAACTTGTTTGTTTGTAGGTGGCCTTACAAACAGGTAGAGAACCTCCTGCTATATGGAAGGTACAGAAAGCTTTGTTGCAAAAATTTATGCCTGAAGTAAAAGATGGACGGAGACAATTCTCTGCAACCAATAGCGTGAGTGGAGTCTCTTATTTATATCATTTTCAGTATGCCCAGTTACTGAATGCAAGATGAGCAATCTGAACAGTTTTCATTTAAATTTGTTTGCTTTCAATGAAAAGACAAATGTAGCATTTGATAACTTTTGTCATGCAATCAGAGGTCTATAGCATTGAAAGAGGCCCTTTGGCCCATTGAATCTGTGCTAGACAAAAACAACACCCAAGTATTCTAATCCCATTTTCCAACACTTAGTCCATGGCCTTTTATACCTTGGCATTGCAAGTGTACATCTGAATGCTGCTTAACTGTTGAGTGCTTCTGCTTCTACTGCCATTCCAAGCTGTGAATTCCAGATTCCCATCACACTCTGGATGAAATAAAAAGTTTTCCTCTCATTTCTCTCAATCTCCTGTCTCTTACCTTAAATCTATGCCCCTTGATTATTGATCCCTCTGCCAAGGGGAAAAATTTCCTCATAATTTTATACATCTCAATTATGACTGCCATAGTCTCCTCTGCTTAAAGGAAAACACCCCAGTCTATCCAATCTCTCTTGATAACAAAATTTCCAGTCCAGGCAACGTCCTGGTAAGTCTCTGCTGAACCCTCTCCAGTGCAATCACATCCTCCTTTAATGTGGATTCCAGAACTGCACAAAAACTGTAGCCTAACCAATGGTTTTATGCACTTCCAGCTTCACCTTTCTGCTCGAACTCTATGCCTCGGTTAATAAAGGCAAGTATCCCACATGTCTTAACCGCTTTATCTACCCTTTCCTCTGCCGTAAGGGACTGGTGGACATGTACATCTAGGTCCCTCAGATCCTCGGTGCTTCCCAGACTCCTGCCATTCATTATGTTTTCTCTTGCCTTGATTGTCCTGCCCAAGTGCATCACCTTGCTTGACTGAAAACTTAATTTGCCAATGATTAGCCCATCTGATCAGCCTGTCTATATCCTCCTGTAATTTAAGGTTATCTTCCTCACTATTTACCACCCCACCAATTTTCATATCATATCATTCCTGAATGTACTGCTATACTTTCCTTTGCTATCAGTCTCTCACGTGTGAGCTTATCAAAAGCCTTGCTGAAGTCCAAGTCGACTATGCCAAATGCATTGCCCACATCTACGGACTCGATTACCTCTTCAAAAGATTCAATCAATTTGGTCAGACATGACCTTGCCTTAACAAAACCATTCTTAATAAATCCCTGCCTGTCAAAGTGCAGATTAGTTCTGTCCTTCAGAATTGCTTCCAATAGTTTCCCCACCATTGAGGTTAAACTGACTGGTCTATAGTTTCTACTAACTTATAGTTTCCTGATTCATTTCTTGCTCCCTTTTTAATAACTACCACATTGCCTGTCCTCTAATCCTCTGGAATCTCTCCTGTGATCACGAAGGAATTGAAATTTATTGCCAACGCCCCTACTATTTCTTCCCTTGACTCACTCAAAAGCCTGAGATACATTTCATTCAGCCCTGGAGACTTATCTATTTTTAGCCTGCCAGACCACTCGGAACCTCCTCCCTGTCTGTGTTAACTTCTTATATCTTTTGTCTGTTGTTTTGAAATATGACCTCATGAAATTGAATCCATTTCTTTTTAGCATTGTCTTAAAGTATAGGATTATCTTAAATTCATTTTAGGCATATTTGTTGGCTATCCCTTGATTAAGAATGGCATCTGCTCAGGGTTGTGAGTTCCTGTTAAGGGTCTTCATGTGACTGAACAGGCTGATTCTCAACCCTGCAGATCTTTGAGCACATGGGCCATGAGGTACTGGAACCTGGAGTGCAGGATTTACTTTCTTTTCTTTCTATGCCTCATCATTTCTAAGTATATTTACAAATGTCATGGTCCTGAAGTTGGTTTGGTAGATTGGTGGGTGGAATTTTCCCTTCCAAATTAGCACCATCAGTGCATGGAATCTAGATGTGAGCAAAAGCCCAATACCTTTTGAAAACTTCAACCCGAATAAAGTCACCATAGTCCAGAGGACCACAGTCTGCTCTCTCCAATGAGGGTCACCACCCTTCAGGTGAGGGGTAAGGTTGATTACATGGGACCTTCATGGTAACCTCAGCTGGTATGGGAATTGAACCTGCCCTGTTGGCATAAGTCTGCATCGCAAACCAGGCATCCTGCCAGCTGAGCTAACTGACACCTTTCAGCACCATCAGGACTAAAGACTTTGTTGCTTTTCATTTGTTCAATTGCATGATATAGCTCTCCCATCGATTCTGGTCCACTTATGGATTCTACCATAGTATCTTAGCCTGCAAAGTATCAACAACTGCTGTGGATTCATGATTGAGGAATTGAAAATGTTGTTTCCAGCATTGATGAGGGTACTGTATTCCTTGAGAAGAGCAACACCATCCTGTGATCAAAGGAGATCTTCAAATATCAACACAGCTTACTATTGTATAAATATGGCCTTTTCTTGTCTTTTACATTCCAGATTTTGTCTTTGGATATCAGCCTTGAGTGGTTGAAAAGCTGCTTTCTTAACTTGTGGCTATTGATTGATCTGCCAGGCAATGAAGGCTGTTAATTTTGTTGCAGAAAGCTACATATTTCTACATAGTTTTTGTGGAATCAGTTCTAATGACAAAAATGCTCAAACCCAATGTCTGATTACTGGTGTCTACCACACCGGACCTTGTTTGGTCACACTTCTCTGGAATTGAGTTGGGTGTGTGAAGATTTTCTTGATTGGTTGTGAGCTGCTTTTGGAATTCCTCTCACTGAGTTGTTGTTGGGACATTGATCTCCCACTAGACTTTTGGGTCTTGTGATATTTTTGTGAATATTCTTTCATAATCAAACAAGTTGATGATCTATCCAGCAGGCAGCAGTCCTGCACTTGACTCAAGTGATATTGACACCACATGACATAATCCAGGACATTCCAACGTTTTTATGTATGATGCCCCTATATCATTTTGTAATCGTCCTTCTGGCAGAAGAACGTGTTTGTTAAAATAAGGCCACACTAAACACACTTCAGTGTTAAAGGCGAGTAATATTTTCATTAGTTTTTCCCAAGCTGTTTTTTTACAGTGCCTCAATGCCTGCTCCCAAGTATTAGAGTCGCAGCTGACTCTGGCTGTCAGGCTTCTTTGGGACAGCAGTGAGAGCTTCACTAAGGTCTGAATAGAACTTTTCCTTGTCTTAATCTGAGTGAAAAGTTGAGATGTAAGCACTGATCACTAGCATATGGATTATGACTGAACTGGTAGTGTAGTGATGCCATTAGTGTTTCATCTATAAAATTGGGATATTCTGGAAGTGCATCCAAGATCCTATTCCAGATGAAAAAAATCCAATTCTGTGAATACATAGTTCACTATCAGTCTTGCCTTTCTAGGGAAGTGTGTATCGAGTTTCCTTCAGTTGCCACTCTGAACAAAGGCAGAACACACTGATAGCAGTGATGTCGATTTGAAACCTTTAGTTCACTGAATGCGATTTCAAGTCTTCTTTTCCGGATATTTGCTCTGCACATTATCCATATGTATTCTAGCATTCCAAGTTGCAAAATTTTTGAATTTTTGCTTTCTTTGACAAAGATGATGGTGTTCCTGCTGATTGTGGATTTTCAGCCAGTAGAATGTGGAACACCCTATTTTAGGGAGCATCATCTAGACCCTTCCCCATTTAAAGTGATCAGGGGTATCCTGAAGAGCAATGCTCAGCTAAAAATGTTGTTATCCAACAGAAGTATGCAATGACCTTTGTGCAACTTTCGCCAGTTTGTGGATTCTTGATGAGGGGCTTCCATGTCCACAACTCTGTACATGTTGCCACTTCTCCATCACCACAGAGTTTATCAAATGGACCCTGGATGAAGCTTGAATGTGACTTTGTTTAAAGTAGTGGTCTTAGTGTGCTGTCGTTGTTCACGTGATCGGTTGTTGGTCAGATTTAGTGATCTATCAAGCCACATAACCAGGATCACCTTGCTGTTGTAGCTTTCTTCTGCTTTCACTGCCAGTGAGATGAATTTTTTTTTGCCTATTCTGCTGTTGAAGACTTCTAAAATTATTACTCGGACAGACTAATGTAAATGGTACTCTGTTCCAAACCTTATTTCACCTGTTCTGTCTTGATGCCGACATTGAGTATTTAAAATGGACAGTATCCCATTTCATTGACTGACTCTTGAAAAGACAACTGTTCACTTGTCCTCATTTACTTACAAATTGCAACTTCTCGTTTCTAACAGAGTCTTTGTGATTTCCCATGTTGTGTAGCTCTGATTTCATTGCAACACGTGACCCATTTAAAAGTACCACATAAAATCACCTGGAGACCGTTGTTAAGTATGTGCAGACACTGTCATTAAACTCCTTGCACATGTTTCAGACATTTTACATCTGTGAATATAAATTAAGTATAATGCGTTGTAACTGTGAAAGTTTAAATTTACCCATATCACCATGCCAAACATTCTAGTATATCAAGACTATATTGCAAACAGTAAAGCATATATATCTGTAAATATCCCCAAGATAATGGGGTGCCTGTCGAAATTCTTAGTTATAGGACGTATATGTTATTAAACACAAGACAGTATTCTTGTATTTGTTCAAATGTGAAGACCTGTCATATTGAGCAAAAAAAATTGTTTTTAATTTAATACTTTTTTTAATAAAGGTAGTGGAATGTCAGCTTATGCAAAATTTTTTACAAGTTGCCATTAGGTGGATGTACATAAAGAAGTTAATCTAAAATGCTGACCCTTATGAAATATTTTGAATTTTTCTAATTTATAGTATCTTGGATACTTTGGAGATGCAAAAACCAAATATAAACGGGTCTACGTGAAATTTATTGAAAACGTAAACAAGAAGGATTATGTTAGAGTTTGTTCCAAAAAGCCACAAAACAGGCCATTGCAAACTTTAAGGTATGGAAAATATTTTGCTTTTGTCCATTTTTGTTTTGTGTGGAGTGTTGAGTTGTATAAGCATAAATTCCAAGTATCTTTTTCGTTACACATGGATTCTTTTGAGCAATTTTGTACACTTGAAAATTAATGTTAACATTACAAGACTGGCTGAATTCTTTTTTTACAGCAGGAGTTCCAAAGAATACAAGTGGCGTTTTGCTATCAGGAATCTTGTTTCTTGTACCAACTCTGTTTTTCCTGTTTTAAGTTCTTTGGACAAAACAGAATGTGAATCTTGGAAACTAAACTTACTCTGCAATTTGTTATCCAAAATGACCTGGTAAACTCTGCCTGATCAACTCTGACAGAATCTTTGAAGTGCTGTGTCATGTGGCAATACTCCTCTGTTCAGTACAAGAAAAAGTCTAAAGGTTTTTGCCATCAAAAAATATGTGTAACACTCAAATTCTGTGTCCACAATGTTGTAACCTATTTGCTGATCATATCTCAAAGATCATCCAAGATTCTTTTGAAAGAAAGCTCAGTTCTAGATTATGATGTGCTACCATATTGACATATTTCAACCTAGGCCCAACTATTTTTATAGTTGTAACTTAGAAGTATTTATCACTAGACTTATTGATCTAGCATATAAATTATACGTTCAACAATGTAATAGTAACTGATGTCTACAATTATTTAAATAAATTTGAATAGATCTTTATTCTGAAAGAATCATAATACACAGCTGAAAGATTAAATAGAAAGATTACGCTTTATAATTTCGCTTGAACAATGATATTCATCCAATCTAACATTAATTTAGAACTGCACATCAAGTTGTCTTTCTTCGTTTATACCTCTATCTTTAGACATAACCAGTCAAGAATGGGTTCTAGTAATAAAGTGTCTGTCAGCAATTCTACAGCATCGAAAGGCTCAACAGCAAAATCTAAAGCTAAGCCAGTCAAACAAATAAAGGTAAAGGCTGAACCACCACCGAAAAAACGAAAGAAATGGCTGAAGGAGGAGTATTCATCTCATTCAGACTCTTCTCTTGAAACTCGGAGTGATGATGAAGATGGTAAGACCTTATTATGTTTCTTTATTTAGCATAATTTTGACCATGTACATAGTCCATCTCTGAATAGCATAATCCCTGAAGAGGCATGAAGCTTGGTTCTGCATTTCTGGTTATTGATTATTTAAATCATTTCATTAGAATACCTAATTTGTCAAGCTTTAAAGCATAACTTAATTTAATTGTAATTTAATTTCATTTATAAACTGATGCTTAAATGATCACCTTGCGAGGAATAATAAATGGAAATCCCAACAGTATTCTTAGAAATTCAATGCAGTCTGTTGTCACATGCTATATCTGGATGAGGGTAGAAAAAACAATAGGGAGAAGCCATTCAGTCAAATTTCTGCATCAGATTCTCTTGTTATCTGCTGAATTAAGAACTGCATTTATTCACACAAGTTCAGAAGAATATTTTCTTAAGCTCATGGTGAATGATGTCAATATTTGGATGGAATCAAAATATTGCCTCAGTCAGTTTTTGTATGAATAAACCTTTACTTAACTCTATTTGAAAAGTACAACTTATTGCCAACTTGAGAGAAGCACTACTTCTGTATCAGTGTAAATGTTTCCAGTTCTTACACCCAGAACTCTTTAGTAACATTGCATGGCAGATTAGTTCGATGTGCCCACTAAGATGTGGCTTATCAACCAAACTCATTACAGATCTGTACACATAGCACTTCAGCAGTCTGGTTGGAATTAAATCTATGACTTGAGAAAAATAGAGGAATTTAAACACTGAAACCTAGTTTCTCAGCCTATCAAATTTTGGTATAAATTAGAACTTTTCAAATTATAAGGGCACTTTTTCCTATCGAGTAATCACATTCTTAATTTTGACTCCACAACTTTGAAAGTACAGCCTTTCCCAGTCATTTAAACTGTTGAGTTCTGTGCAGAACTGGTGCAAGTTAGACTTGCTTTTCTCTTTTGATCTTCATTCACTTTGTTTGGATGAGATCAGGAACTCAGCATGGGAAATTGAAGGTTACATTTCATCTAAAGGAACACTACTCTTAAAGAATAGAATTTCAACTCCATGTAATGAGTCAGTATTATGATCCCAGTTGATGGTATTACTGGACAAATCAGATCCCAGACTGAAATCTGAGTTGACTTTAACAAGGTCACTTCCTGGAACAGAAGCATGTAATGTTGCAGGTTTGGTTTAAACAATAAAATAGAAATTTATGACACACAAGACATAATGATAAAATAGAATAAACTAAACTAATTGCATATAGCACATGTTTAAAGAGTAAAAATAAAAAATCATTAGCCCTAAAAGTACCCCTTTACAATACTCTCACAAGAGAGAAGTCCCTTGTCTCTCACTGCTTTAGGGCTTCATTTAACTGTGATATTGACTCCCAGTCATAAGAATCTGGTAGCCTCTTGCTGGAACCTTCCTATAACTGAGCTTAAACTTTTTCAGTTTCAACTAACTCCTTCAGGGTGTTAACCAAACATTTCTGGTCTGAAACTCTTACAAAACGCCTCACACTAAGCTAAACTAGTTTTTAAGCAACTCCAAAGTATTTTCTCCTTTTAAGAGCAACTGCTTCACACGTGCAGCTTCAACCACAATTCCTGCAGAGTTGCCCAAACTGGAACAAAAAAAAACTTTTCCTTCCCAAGCTTTGGGCTTTTCCCCCTAATCAAAGAAAAAAATCCCTGATCTCCTCAGCTGGAGCCTAATGCACAACTTGTTCACTCGTGGAATTCTCTCAATATAAACAAAAACTAATTACTCTTTCTCTCCCACTGTTTTAAAATAAATCACCATGATACGGAAATACTTAAAGTTAATCATTAAAAACCTTCAGACACACATGCCACTAGTTCAAGTTCAAGCAACCAAACTCAAAAATAATATTAATGTAGAAAAATCACACACCTGATATCACACTCAACAAGATGCTCTCTCATCCATCATTTGATTAAGGAGGTGTCTAGTACTTATGAAACTGCAGTGTAGCAAGGTATCACTGTCTTCTGTATAACAGAAGAGAAACTGACTAACGAAGAGGAGAAAATGCGACTAAAAAGTGAGAATGGAAAGGGACGTGCATAGCAATAAAAACAAAGCAGGTTTTTATTAACAAAACTTTACACATGCCTTCTTCTTTAGATAGTCGATCCCTTTTGAAAGTCAGTACACAGGGAAGAGTGAACAAAATCCTTCAACAAAAATCAGGTTTGCAAATTCAATACACTTCTCATGTACTGTTGTAACTTTTTTTACAATAAAATGTTCTCACTCCAATGCAGACCAATGAAGAAAATTTCCTGGAGTTTCTAGCAAGGTAATTTGGCAGCTGTCAGAAGTAAGAATAGTGGCAAATTTTCCCCTCCTTGACTCAGTAATGATCATGGATCAAACACAGAACATTTTAATGTATGCTTCCTTATGCAGCTGAACCATTTGAGGAAGCTGTTACCATGTTTTTAAAACTCTGAGAACTTGGCAATGTGTTAAATCTATTAATGCATAGAGAAACTCACTTGTTCCTTTTAAACAAAACAATGCAATTATTTATGGTCACATTTTCATTGTTTAAACTTGACAGCAGGCTAAGATATTTTCCCAGGTGAAAACATTTTTCTGTGATCTTTTTAGAGATTATCTGAAAATGTTGTCAGTTATCCTTTTGCACAATGCTACTAAACCTGGTTAGCCCTGTCAATGTCATCTTACTAATATATAATTTCAACTTTAACTTAGTCATAGAACTCTTGCCTCAAAGGCTGTGAGTTCACATTCTACTTTTGTGCATAATTTAGTTCACGTGTCAGTTTAGTACTTGTGGAGTGGTACGTCATCTGAGCTGCCATGTTTTGGATTAGAAGTTAAATTGGGATCTGTTTGCTTGGATGAACATGAAAGATCACTTGGCACTATTCAACAGCAGCAGAGTTTTCTGTGATGCCTTTGTCAACATTTTATCTCAAGAATTTTGAAACTGGCCATTAAGAAATATAAATGATGTCTTGTGGTTCTGTTAGACGCTGTATAATTTCAAATTATTTCGTAACAAAATTCAATAAAACTTGTTTTTTTGGTCATTTGTTTCACTGCTGGACTCCTTTAGTTGCGTGGCATAAATTGCAAGGTTTATTGTACATTACCGTTGGATGAGACATTTGCAGCTAATTTTCTAGACTCGCCCTTCATAATTCTGAAAGAGAAGTATGAAAAAGTGAGAGAATTATAGATAAGTGTAAGATGGTTACTGTAACAGAATGAAGTTGTTTCCAAAACAATTGAGTTGTATTACTGGGTAATAAACATCACAGAAATTATATTGAAAAATATTTAATCCTGATCTGTATGGTCTTCCAGTACGAAAAGAACTGCAGGGACATCAGTACATAGGCTCTTAAAACTTGTACACTATGGAAAATCTGGTTTGTTGAAGGGAAAGTTGCAAGAGCCTTTGCTGAAGTTGAATAGGTTAAAATGCAGAAGATGATTAAAAGCAACCACCTTAAATCATTTGTAACAACTGATTGATGTGGAGAAGTTTGTATTCTTCCCTTTTTCATTTCTTTGACCCATGTGAATCTGATCATTATGGTCATTGTACATGATTCATCTTGCTGTAAAATAATTTTGCATCAATATTGTTTTTGCCATGTCTTTTGAACAATGAAGAAATTCAGGCAACATTCAGTGTAAAGATACTAATGTAGCCCAAGTGGAAAGGTGTTGCTGTTATATACCTAGTTGATAATGTTATGCTACTAACTATAGGACATGAACTTCCTAACAGCAGTAACTGATATTAGTAAACCCAAAAAGGCATCTACGGTAGACCAGAATTTGCAGCAAGCACTTCAGGGCATGCAAGTTATGAGACAAGATTTTGGGCTTGTGAGTCCAGTCAGCAATGGCTGCAACAGAACTTGGAGTGATTTCTGATAGCAGATCGGCCCCCTTAACTCCTCAAGGTCTTTTTTCGTTGATGGATGTGGCCTAATTTACTGCTCTGAGATGCCTGATTGTTGCAGTGAAAAAGTCTGGTAAAAGGAAGTTTTTCTTTTATAGAAACCCTGCTTTTTCATTGACCGTTTCCTAACTGCAAATCCTGTCAAAGTCTAAACCAAAGCTGTCTTCCATTTTCTCTTCTCACCCCCGAATCATTCCTGAACTCGATTCTCATACTTGTCATATTACTACTTTGGGGTCACATATCCGAAGCACTAAAGTGATGTCACACCCAGAAATGGTTTTGGCCTGATGGATTGTTAATATTCAATTTCCTATGTAATGATGACTGTGTTTTTTTTTTAAAGAAAATGGTACTTAATTAGTTGTGAAATGCTTTCGGATTTCTGTGATCCATGGAAGGAATTACGTAAATGCTCATGCCAATTTTAAATCTTCCAATTTATTGATTGTGCTCCAAGTTATGACCAGCAAAGCTGTATATTCGTTTTGGTGGATACTTCTCTGGGAATGAAAGTTTGTGCGAAGTACTTTTGTTAACTTGGCAAGAGTCATTTTGTTTACCTTATGTTATGATCCCAGCTGATGTTACTTTTGGACAAACCAGATCGCAGAATTAAACCTGGCTGGATAGATCTCATTTTATATATTTTAATGAATAGTCTTTCACTGAAACATGAAAATGCCATAAGACCATAAGACATAGGAGCAGAAATTAGACCATTCAGCTTATCGAGTCTGCTCCACCATTCAATCATGGCTGATAAGTTCGTCAACCCCATTCTTCCGCTTTCTCCCCGTAACCCTTGATCCCCTTGACAATCAAGAACCTATCTATCTCAGTCTTAAATGTACTCAATGACCTGGCCGACACATCCTTCTGTGGCAGTGAATGCCATAGATTTGCTACTCTCAGGCTGAAGAAGTTTCTCCTTATCTTCGTTCTAAAAGATCTTCCCTTTACTCTAAGCCTGTGCCCTCGGATCCTAGTCTCTCCTACCAGTGGAAGCATCTTCCCAACATCCACTCTGTCCAGGCCATTCAGTATTCTGAAAGTTTCAATTAGATCCCCCCTCTATCCTTCCAAACTCCAATGAGTATAGTCCCCAGAGTCCTCAAACGTTCCTCTTATGTTAAGCTTCTCGTGAACCTCCTCTGAACCCGCTCCAGGGCCAGTACATCCTTCCTGAGCTATGGGGCCCAAATGCCAGGCTGCAGGTTTGGTTTTGATAATGAAATTGAAGTTTATTCTGCAAAAGAAGGAAAATTGAAATAAAAACAACCAAGTTATCTACATTTAACACAGTTTAGAAAAGTTTAAACACCTGGCAAAACACAGTCCCATCTACTCTCCAACACTATGACTGTACAGTTGATCAAAAGCTAGAGAAATTTTCCTTCCCCATCAGATCTTAAGTTGCTTCTTTCCAGTTCTGGTCCTGAGAGCTGTGAATCCTTTCTCTTTGACTCGCACAACTGAAATCTTTCCACTGATGTAGCGTATTCCCTTAGCTGCTCTGAACAACTCCTTTCTTTAGAGGAAACTATCCTAGGATCTGACTCGAGGTGAGGTCTCCTGAAAACTGAGTTCAAAAGCTTTTAACAAAGTGATATTTTTAAAAAAAAACTTGTCCTTCCAAGCTTCAGCTAAGCTAATTGCTTGACTGTTTTTCTCTTCCTCTGTTGTAAAATCCCATAATATTAACAAACTCCCATTAAACCTGTAGGAGGCCTCCAAACATTGGCTGTCTGACATATTGCTGTAAAATCATAGTTGTAAAAAGAATGACCTAGTTAATTATTAAACCCCTTCCCAAACAACCATCCATATGCCACTAATTTGAAGCCCACCTCTCAAGTAAAACTGTTAATATATATAGATCTTAGAGTCTTAGAGCTGTACAACATGGAAACAGACCCTTTGGTCCAACTTGTCCATGCCGACCAGATATCCTGAATTAATCTAGTCCCATTTGTCAGCATTTGACCCATATCCCTCTGAACCCTTCCTATTCATATACCCAATCATATGCCTTTTAAATGTTGTAATCGTACCAGCCTCCACCACTTCCCCTGGAAGTTAATTCCATACGTGCAGCACCCTCTGTGTGGAAATAGCTGCCCCTTGTGTTTCTTTTAAATCTTGCCCCTCTCACCTTAAACCTGTGCTGTCTAGTTTTCCCCACTACCCTGGGGAAAAGATCTTGGCTATTCACTCTATCCATGCTCCTCATGATTTTGTAAACTTCTATAAAGTCACCCCTCAGCCTCTGACGCTCCAGGGTAAATAGCCCCAGCCTTTCAGCTTCTCCCTGTAGCTCAAACCCTCTAACCCTGGCAACATCCTTGTAAATCTTTTCTCAACCCTTTCTTGTTTCACGACATCCTTCCTGTAGAAGGGAGACCAGAATTGCATGCAAGATTCCAAAAGTGACCGAACCAATGTCCTGTACAGCTGCAACATAACCTCTCAACTCCAATGCTCAATGCACTGACCAATAAAGGCAAGCATAACAAATGCCTTCTTCACTATCCTATCTACCTGTAACTCCACTTTCGAGGAACTATGAACCTGCACTCCAAGGTCTCTTCGTTCAGCGACACTCTCCAGGACCTTATCGTTAAGTGTACAAGTCCTGCTCTGATTTGCCTTTCCAAAATGCAGCACCTTACATTTATCTAAATTAAACTCCATCTGCCATTCCTCAGCCCATTGGCCCACTTGATCAAGGTCCCGTTGTACTCTGAGGTAGTGTTCTTCGCTGTCCACTACACCACCAATTTTGGTGTCGTCTGCAGATATATTAACCATACCTCCTATGTTCACCTCTACATCATTTCTATAAATGACAAAAAGCAGTGGACTTAACACCAATCCTTGTGGCACACCGCTGGTCACAGACCTCAAGTCTGAAGAGCAACCCTCTACCACCACCCTCTGTTTCCTACCTTCAAGCCAGTTCTGTATCCAAATGCCTAGTTCTCCCTGTATTCCATGTGATCTAACCTTGCTAACCAGTCTACCATGCAGAACCTTGTCGAACACCTTACTGATGTCCATATAGATCCTGTCCACTGCTCTGCCTTCATCAATCTTCATCATTACTTCCAAAAACTCAATTAAGTTAGTGAGACACTATTTCCCACACACAAAGCTATGCTGACTATTTCTAATCAGATCTTGCTTTTCCAAATATGTGTAAATCCTGTCTCTCGGGATCCCCTCCAACAACTTGCCCACCACTGATGTTAGGCTTATAGTCTGTAGTTCCCTAGCTTTTCCGTACCACCTTTTCTTAAATAGTGGCACTACATTAGCCAACCTCCAGTCTTCCGGCACCTCACAAATACCTCAGCCATCGTGCACTTTTAATCATATTTGATATCTTTCCTTTGTATCCAAGGATGAGAATTACCATTTATGAAATCTAATATTATATACCAGCACTGTACAAAGGGAGTGCTTTATTCAAGGTGACCAACAATCCTAGACTTTGCAGGATTGCAGTTTTAAATTTAGTCTTTTTGTGCTGATGTTTCCCCTTTTATTCTATACTTACTATGAGCATTATTTGTAAGAACCCAATTAAATGAGCAAGATGTGTAATATGATCAACACTTTATCACATTCAGCAGCAGTTACCTCAGAGTATAATGGGATTTTAATCAGATGGCCAAAGGGCCAATGAGTGGCAGATGGAGTTTAATCTAGATAAATGTGAGGTGCTGCATTTTGGAAAGGCAAATCAGGGCAGGACTTATACACTTAATGGTAAGGTCCTGGAGAGTGTTGCTGAACAAAGAGACCTTGGAGTGCAGGTTCATAGTTCCTTGAAAGCGGAGTTGCAGGTAGATAGGATAGTGAAAAAGGTGTTTGGTGTGTTTGCCTTTATTGGTCAGTGCATTGAATGTAGGAGTGGGGAGGTCATGTTGTGGTTGTACAGGACGTTGGTTGGGTCACTTTTGGAGTATTGCAAGCAATTCTGGCCTCCCTCCTATAGGAAGGATGTTGTGAAACTTTGACAGGGTTGAAAAAAGATTTACAAGGATGTTGCCAGGTTTGGAGGATTTGTGCTACAGGGAGAGGCTGAAGAGGCTATTTATCTTGGAGTGTCAGAGGCTGAGGGGTGACCTTATAGAGGTTCATAAAATCCTGAGGGGCATGGATAGGGTAAATAAGCAAGGTCTTTTCCCCAAGACTGGGGAGGTGGGGGAAGAGTTCAAAACAAGAGAGCATAGGCTTAGAGCGAGAGGGCAAGAATTAAAAGGGACATAAAGGGCAATGGTTTCACATAGAAGGTGGTGCTTATATGGAATGAGCTGCCAGAGGAAGTAGGGGAGGCTGGTACAATTACAACATTTAAAAGGCATCTGGATGGATATACGAATAGAACGGGTTTCAAGGGATATAGTCCCATTTGCTAGCATTTGGCCTAGATTAATTTAGGATATCTGGTTGGCATGAATGAGTTGGACCAAAGGGTCTGTTTCCGTGCTCTATATCTCTATGACTCTATATTAAACTATGGATTACCAATTGTCTCCTTCTTCACCCATGTCTGTTTTGTTTGCATTATTTAATAGCAGGAATTACAGTACAGAGAGTCCTGGGCATAATAGCAATGTGTGGAAAAAATTATGTTTCAAAATCTATTCTTAATTATAAGATGTCAGCTGGATTGAGTAATTAATGATATATAATTTTTTTCCTTTTAGTGCATTCTGCTTTGTAAGTATTGCTTTCCATTGATGCTGAGCTTTCATTGGAAGTAGAATGAAGGTGTTGTAATTTATTTACTTAAGCAAGTAACTTGATTACTTTATACACACAGTATATCAAGAAACTATATGCTACAATGGGATCTTCTTTAAATCAGGAAAATATCTCCTCAATTTTTCAGCAATCTAATTATCAAATTTGGATGTGGTAACCATCAATGAAAACATTAAGTAAATACAGTAATATAAAGTAGGGTAGCCATGGTGCTTGACCTCATTATTATAATAATGAGAATTGCCACTAGGATTTCAATCTGAGCAGTTCAAGTTATCAAAGTTTTTCTAGGTTCCATTATAATTTTACATAGTTTGGATATTAATCTGACATTCTGAATATGAGTATTTGTTTGGACGACAGTAAACACTGACAAAGGTTTGTCTTTTTACACCCAAAATCCATTTAATAGGCCCTAGCTAAGATATGGGATAAGATGTTGCATTCTGCCACATCCCTGTTCACCCCAATAATACGTAGGTGGGTAGACACCAAAATTAGTAGCTCACATATGTTGGCGATACCAAAATACAGCTGGCATGATTTGCACTGACTCTCCTGCATAAGGGGAGCTAAGCTCCCATGCCCATTTCTACGCCACTGAATTTCGGCCCATGATTTCAAATTCAAGACTTATTGATATGAATTTGCTGCATAACTGAGCAAAATCGCGATCTCATTCGAGCTGTAAGCATGCACACTGTTGAAAGTGGAAAAAATTCATCTTTGTGCAGTAAGGATATTGGAATGAGACATTTTGTTCCAATAAATAGAGCCAATGTTTCCCTCATCAGGTAATATTACACCTTTCTCGAATACCTGATGGTATTACTCCCAAAAGGTTGTTCATTGCTTAGCTGTCACTGAAAGCTCAAGGCATTACAAATATGCAAATTAATGCTGACAAAATCAGAAGCTGGCTTGATGTTTTCAGTTGATGTATCTTAAAATAAAACGTTTTCTTTAATTAGCTTTTCCATAATAAAGGACTTTGTCATTTCATACACCTGCAATCCTCATTATTGTAATAATGCTACTCAGGAGGGGTTAAAAGTAATGTGGCATGGGATTGGGAACCAGAACAATAGGTCAGCATTTGGCGTGTTTTAAGAGAAGAGAAGGACTAAATCAGTAAGTCCAGTAGGAAGAACAGGCAGGGACAGATTAATGGACATGGCAGGATTAGTAGTTTGAAGTGTATTTATTTTAAGGCAGGGAGTATAACAGATAAGGCAGATGAGTTTAGGTCCTGGGTTGGTATGTGAGACAATGACTACAATGGTAGCCATCACAGAAACTTGCTTGAGAAAAAGGCAAGACTGGTAACTGAATGTTCCAGGGTTTAGATGTTTCAGGCTTGTTAAAGAGCGATGTAAAAGGGGTGGGGAAGTTGCATTACTGATTAAGGAGAATGCCACAGCTGTACTAAGAGAGGACATCTTGGAGGGCTCATCCATTGAGGCAATATGGGTAGAATGTAGAACATAGAACATTACAGCGCAGTACAGGCCCTTCGGCCCTTGATGTTGCGCCGACCTGTGAAACCAATCTGAAGCCCATCTAACCTAAACTATTCCATTATCATCCATATGTTTATCCAATGACCATTTAAATGCCCTTAAAGTGGGCGAGTCTACTACTTTTGCAGGCAGGGCATTCCACGCCCTTACTACTCTCTGAGTAAAGAACCTACCTCTGACATCTGTCCTATATCTATCACCCCTCAATTTAAAGCTATGTCCCCTCGTGCTAGCCATCACCATCCGAGGAAAAAGGCTCCCACTGTCCACCCTATCTAATCCTCTGATCATCTTGTATGTCTCTATCAAGTCACCTCTTAACCTTCTTCTCTCTAACGAAAACAGCCTCAAAACCCTCAGCCTTTCCTCATAAGACCTTCCCTCCATACCAGGCAACATCCTGGTAAATCTCCTCTGCACCCTTTCCAATGCTTCCACATCCTTCCTATAATGCGATGACCAGAACTGTACGCAATACTCCAAGTGCGGCCGCACCAGAGTTTTGTACAGGAATAAGAAAGACACAATCACTTGTGATGGGGTTCTACTATCAGCTTCTCAATAGCCAGAAGAATAGATATAAGAGTAAATCATGGAAAGATGTAAAAACAATGGGGCCACTGCAGTGTGTGATTTTAATTTCCTCAATGTTCACTGGGACTCCCTTAGTGCCAGGGGCTGAGATGGGACCGAATTAGGTGCATCCAAGGGAGGATTCTTGAAACAATTATATAGATAGTCCAACTAGGGAATGTGATCGAAGTTTCAGTGGGGAAATTACTTCAGTGATCATAATTCTTAAATTTTAAGATAGTTATGAAAAAGGATAAGTTAAATTTAAGTGATGAATTGGGAGAAGGCTAACTAAAACAGCATTAGGCAGGAAATGGGAAAAAATGGATTGGTGGCAGCTCTTTGGAGGTATATCCACATCTGACAGTATCTTTTAAAAGCTAGTTGATCAGAGTTCAGGATAGGATGGATATTTGGAGTCTCTTTCCCAGGGTCGAAATGTCAAATATGAGGGGGCTTAGGTTTAAGGTGAAAGGGGGAAAGTTTTTTTTTTACACACAGAGTGGTGGGTGCCTGGAACGCAGTGCTGGGGGAGATAGAAGCAGAAACATTCACAAAGTTCAAGAGGCATTTAGACAGACGCATGAACAGCCAGAGAATAGAGGGATGAGGACCATGTGCAGGGAGACGGGATTAGGTTATAATAACATCATGGTCAGCATAGACATGGTGGCCTGAAAGGCCCAATCATGTGCTGTATTGTTCTACATTAATGACATCAAATACCATGGCAATCCTACTGTCTGTTAGTATACAACTTCATGCTTTTGTGAAAGGTTACCATTTTTACATTGGGTAATAATCAGATTGCTGAAGAATGGACCAGATATTTCATTGACTTAAAACAAGTCCCATTGTGGCATGTGGTTTCTTGATATCAGAATTTGATATTGTCAGTTATACTGTAGAAATCTGTGTATTTTCAAAGAATAATCTGAATTCATTGCTAATACATTTGAACAGAAAACAAGTTAGTATTAGCTGTTTGAATGCATGCCGACAGAATTGCTGCTTTAGTACTACATACTTACTTGTTTGTATTTTAGAACGCCCTTTAACAACACCATATGTAGCTCGCTTCCTGAATACCAGAACAATGAAAGAGACATTTAAAAACTATGTGGAACTACTCGTGAGTACAGCCTTGGATCCAGACATGATTGAAGCGTCAGAACAAAGTAATGGTAAATATTAATGCTTATTTTCACTTTACAACATTGATAAGTGCTCTGCAATCTTCATAGAGTAATGCGTAGAATAAAGAGAAATTATCCTTGACAATTAAAATCTTGTCAAAGCAAATAATTCCACAGCCATTTTGTAACTTACCGTTTCCTGCTGTCTATATTTCCTTTGCTTGCCCATCAGCCTCTTTACCAGTGCCCATCTTACCATTTTTTAACTCTAGCTGGACAGACATGTTTGGCATACAACTGCTCTGTAGCTATCTTTTTTAGATGAAACCGCAGAATCGGCTGAGTTGATTCTAATTTAGGTTAACTAAAGGGAATGGGACGCCTGCATACTGTCCCACTCAAATTTCACAGTCCAGATTGAGAATTTGCGTTAAGAATCTTCTAGTGATGTAATACTGTGTACATTGACAAATTGATTGTGTTGCTGAGTCATACTCCTATAGGATTTTACACTCCAGTGAAGAATTTTATTTGTATGATATTGGCCAATATCAGTCAACTCTGTGGTGTATCATCAACAGACTATGTTGTACTGTTGTATAACTGTTGTAATGTAGTGTTGCTGTAAAAGCAGGTTTCTAGTTTGTGATGTCATTATAATGTGGTCTGTTTGATGCACAAGCGTAAGAATATCCCTGTTTGCTGCATATCGTCTTTATTTCTATCTTGATGCAATATCTAGTTGTTGTGTCATAATGGCTGTAAGCATGAATATTTTTGTGTGTCATGCATCACTCCAATTGCCAAAACCCCCTCTCCAAAACTACATAATGGTGGTGGAGTCTGAAAGGGTTAATGCGAAAGAGTGCCTTAAGCCCCCTGCCCAATACTATGATATTGTATGAAGTCAGGCAGGGAGCATTGGATCTCAAAAGAGTAAGATTTAACATCAAGGTCTCCTCAGTCTCCGTAATGTAAGTTGCAGCACTGAAACTTGTACCCTGGTTCCTATCATGTAATAAACTATGGTTTGTTTTAAGACAATAGCCTCTTATTAGGCTGCTAGGCCTTGTAGATCTCTACCAAAAAAGAGATGGTGGCAACAGAATGAGCTGGGGGCATGGACTCTATTTAGCTGCAACATACAAAATGCTGGCAACCATTGTGATCTGAAGGCTCTTCAAACACCGGTTTAAGAAGACTACTTGAGCAGATTGTGGGTAGAAAGAGCTGATCATTCAAGAACCTGCAGAAGAGAACCTTGTAGCACAATTGCACAAGGCAGAATGTGTAGGTGATAATAAAAAGCATTCCAAACCTGGTAAGAAACACGCAGCAGTGATTGTAAGCCAGGAAATCTAATTCAAATATTAATCACACCAAGAAAATCACAGATTTCATTGGGTGCCTATAATCTGGGAGCAGTCCTGAGTTGTGGTTCAGCAAAAGAGAACATCAGAGACTCTGAGTAACTGCCAAGGGAATACTTTTAAAATAAAAGCACCATTTACAGGCTGGCAAAGCTAGAAATAACCAAAGCGCTTAAGAGTTCACATACATGGCTACATTAAGGAAAATCGAGGTCCACAGATACCATTTACAGTGAGTTTGCAGACCTAGAAATGTTACAAAGCCAGAATTAAGACCATAAAATGGGCAAATTTAGAAGCCCAAGCAAGCAAAATCAAGGTAAGAAGACAATTAGAAAACTATTGAAGCTGTGGAAAAGGCAGGAGATCCCTTATTTAAATGGTGGTTCAGACAGGTAGCATTTTTTTTCAAACCACAATTGGTGGGAGTCATTTAGACAAAAAAGCATAAAGCAACATGAATTATGAGTAGCACTGCACACAGCAGGTATCAGCCAGGAAAATCCATTAAAGAACAGGAATGGAGTTGCATAAAGCTGGAATTGTTCAGTAAAGCTGTTAAGATAATGGGACTCATTATTAAAATAATATGCAACAGGATTCATTCAGCGAAGCTGTTAAGGGGAAAGGAATCACATATTAGGCCAGGCTTAGCAGGATTCATCTAGAGAAGCGACACAAAAAATGGAAATCACCTCATTTATTGGCCAAAGGCGGGAAACGCCCATTTTGGCTACAAAAATGTGGAAAAGACCTTCAGTAAAGTATTGCTTAGTAGCAGCCTTTAAAACAAGAAGAATAATCATATTCTGAAGATATAGCAGAAATAATATTGCGAGAAAGATTCAGTTTCAGAGGAGGGCCAAATAGAACATATAATTAGAAATTGTGGAGAAAATTGTTCCTAAATTACATAATTCCTTCCAAACTAAATGCTAAATCAGCTGCTGAGCATGTCAATAGACTTTTGCATTCAACTGAGACTATACCTGATGGCCTTACAGTTCACCATAAAAGAAGAAACAAATACTTTTTATCAGGTTCTGCAAGTCTTTGACAATTGCTTTAACTTCAATAATGATCTCAGCCATTTTGAGGAAACCATATGAGTAAAGTCAGAATTCATAAACGTCAGTTATTGTTGGAACTGCTTGTAAATCTTAGTCATATTTATTCTTTATTATTTATTTTAAAAGGAGATTTCACTTTAGAATAAATCATTCAGATGGTGAGTGAACTGACGTCTGGAAGCAACACAGATTAGTCCTACGTGCAAAATGTCAACCGTATCGTAGGAAATCAGTAGAGTCTGTTCAGTTCTTAAGGTATAAAAAGCCTAAACGCAGAAGAGATGCCAGTTCAGAGAGTAGGACAGATAACAAAAGTCAGTGTCAGCGCTGTGGAGCAAGGAGACCTCACAAGGACAAAAAGGGCCATCTACTTCTATTTTAAAGTTGGTTTTATTTATGAAACAATGAGTCACACAACGGAAATTCAAAGTAGGACAAAATCACGGAGCAATAAGAAGACAAATGGCTACTCTCTCAAATAAGTCAATACATAGAACAACCTACAACAGAACAAAAGCCAAAGGTATTCCTAGGGGAAAAAGGTGATTCATTTCTAATTTTTGGCAAGAAGAATATTCATGTCAGTGGGCATCTCACTAATTTTAAGATTGATATGGGGCATCACTATATTATCAGTTATATGCCATGATTGAAGAAACACTATTTACAGCAGTGCAACATAAGGGGTGCATATGAGATAATCGAGAATATGTATGTACTTTGCAATCAAGAATTCTCACGCTTAAGCAGGAAGGCATGCCTCGACCTCAATCATGTTTAAATGGATGAAGAAGTCAAATTAGTTAAAATAAAGAAAGCACTTTTCAAGGAATAGCCAATTATAGAACACTCATTCAGGGAACAACAGGTCAAAGAAATTTTGATTACTGAACAACCAGTCAAGGGACACCAATTGAAGATTTTGTGCATCTCTTAGATGCCTAACCGAACTTAAACGAAGACCATGTGTTGAGATGGCATTAAAATATCATTCTGCACTGTCAGTAAAATGAAAACCTTTGATTACATAGGGTTGGCAGAGATGTTTTCCACTCCTGTTGGCACAGAAGAAAGTTCAGGCTGCAAGAACCAGCAAAGTTTACTAGCAACACAAAGGATAAAAAAAAACGAGCAGTAAACTCCACATGAGTTTATTGATGAATTCTCAACTGATGTAATTCAGACTGCAGTAGTGCTTGGGGAACAAATAGTGATGACAGACTGTGCCTGATGTCAGGCGCAGAGAATATACAAGTTTAAGCAGAATGTTTTGTGACTGTATTTCCCAGGAAGAATCAGTAATTTCTTTGATCATGCAAGAACAAAAATCAATCCTCACGTGCTTGTAGTTGACATAGTCCCAAAGGACCATAGGGCTGCTGTCTTATTCGACAGAGTCATAGGGATGTACAACATGGAAACAGACCCTTCGGTCCAACTCGTTCATGCTGACCAGATATCAAAGAACAAAGCAAATTACAGCACAGGAACAGGCCCTTCGGCCCTCCAAGCCTGCGCCAATCCAGATCCTCTATCTAAACCTGTCACCTATTTTCCAAGGATCTGTATCTCTCTGCTCCCTGCCCATTCATGTATCTGTCCAGATACATCTTAAATGACGCTATCGTGCCTGCCTCTACCACCTCCGCTGCCAATGCGTTCCAGGCACCCACCACCCTCTGCGTAAAGAACTTTCCATGCAAATCTCCCTTAAACTTTTCCCCTCTCACCTAGAAATCATGACCCCTAGTAATTGAGTCCCCCACTCTGGGGGAAAAAGCTTCTTGCTATTCACCCTGTCTATACCCCTCATGATTTTGTAGACCTCAATCAGGTCCCCCCTCAACCTCCATCTTTCTAATGTAAATAATCCTAATCTACTCAACCTCTCTTCATAGCTAGCGCCCTTCATACCAGGCAACATCCTGGTGAACCTCCTCTGCACCCTCTCCAAAGCATCCACATCCTTTTGGTCATGTGGCGACCAGAACTGTGCGCAGTGTTCCAAATGTGGTCGAACCAAAGTCCTATACAACTGCAACATGACCTGCCAACTCTTGTACTCAATACTCCGTCCGATGAATGAAAGCATGCAGTATGCCTTCTTGACCACTCTATCCACCTGCGTTGTCACCTTCAGGGTACAATGGACCTGAACACCCAGATCTCTCTGTGTATCAATTTTCCCCAGGGCTTTTCCATTTACCGTATAGTTCGCTCTTGAATTGGATCTTCCAAAATGCATCACCTCGCATTTGCCTGGATTGAACTCCATCTGCCATTTCTCTGCCCAACTCTCCAATCTATCTATATTCTGCTGCATTCTCCGACAGACCCCTTCACTATCTGCTACTCCACCAATCTTAGTGTCATCTGCAAACTTGCTAATCAGACCATCTATACCTTCCTCCAGATCATTTATGTATATCACAAACAACAGTGGTCCCAACACGGATCCCTGTGGACCACCACTGGTCACAGTTCTCCATTTTGAGAAACGCCCTTCCACTACAACTCTGTCTCCTGTTGCCCAGCCAGTTCTCTATCCATCAAGCTAGTACACCCTGGACACCATACGACTTCACTTTCTCCTACCATGCAGAACCTTATCAAACACCTTACTGAAGTTCATGTATATGACATCTACAGCCCTTCCCTCATCTATCAACTTTGTCTATCCTGAATTAATCTAGTCCCATATGCCAGCATTTGGCCCATATCCCTCTAAACCCTTCCTACTCATAAACCCATCTAGATGCCTTTTAAATGTTGTAATTGTACCAACCCGCACCAGTTCCTCTGGCAGCTTATTCCTTACACTCACCATTCTGCGTGAAAAAGTTGGCCTCTAGAAACTGAACAGCAGAGGCAGTCAGCTGTGCAAGTTCACTGCTCGGTCAGAGACAGCTGGTGGTGAATTTAACCTGAGGGTCACCATGCCTCAGGCAAGGTCGAGAAGACCGGACCTTGAGATAGGACAACCAATTTTCTCAGATTCAGGACACAAAAATTACCTGACTCCGTGGTTCTGAATATTGTCCAGAAGAAACTGCCTGATTCAACAATCCAGGTTCCTGCCACAAAGGGAAAAAAAAAGGCTTTGATCAATGACAATGCAAAAAATAAATTATTTGTTAATTCCTTCAGGTTGTAGAATGGAGCAATTGGTTATTTCAGCAGCAGAAAAGACTTCCTCAGCAAAGAACAATCCAAGAGAGGCCTCCACTTTAAAGGGATGTACAGACTTCACCATCAAGAACAGAGCATAGTCAACAGGGAATAGAGGATCCTCCAGACAGCCTGAATTATTTTGGCGGGTGGAGGGAATAGAGGAAAGATGTAGTTGTGGTAAATGTAACCATGTATACAGATGTATAATGCTAATAATGGGAAAAATACTTGAGGTAAGATGTTATATACAAGTGTAGGGGTATGAACAGGTTATTGCTGAGGAGTGAATTAAATACTGCCCAATCTGATAAAGTCACGTAGACTTTGGTGAGAGAGCAGCTTTGGATTGTCAAGGAGTCAGATCTAACATTGAAGACTGCCTCTGTTTCAGTGTCTGTTATTACCAATGTAACTTGTATCTATTTGCCAATAAAATTCATTGTGCTTAAAATAAGAGCTACTACTTGTTAGTCTTCCAGCTGTTTTTCTGTACCATAGCAGACCAAACAGGTTCCATAGATCACTATCAGGAAAGAGGATGATAGCAGCAAACCTACCTGATGGATTTTAAACCATGATGAGCATGGTGATCTTGTAACACTTCTACTACCATCCTCAACCTCTCCTCATAAGAAAATCCCTCCATACTCAGAATCAACCTTCTCTGAGTTGCCTCCAATGCCAGTATATATCTTTCCTGAATAAGGGGCCCAGAACTGTTCAGTGTTCCAATTGTGGACTGACTAGTGCCTTATATAGTTTCTGCAAAATCTGCTTATTTTTATACTTCATTCCTTCTGAAATAAAAGCCAACAGTCTATTTGCCTTCGCATTTTTACATGCTGAATTTGAATGCTAGATTTTTGTACACGAGGGCCCCCAAAGTCTTCTGTGCTGCAGTTTTGTGCAGACCTTCCCGATTTAAATAATATTCAGCTCTTCTATTCTTCCCGACAAAGTGCATAACCTCAGATCTTTCCCACATTATATTCCATCTGCCAAGATTTTTGTTGAGTCATTTAACATGCCTGCATCCCTTTGCAGAGTATGTGTCATCCTCACCACTTGCCTCCCCACCTATTTTTGTGTCATCCACAAACCTGGCAATAGTACTTTCACTCCTCACTCTTTTAAACTCCAATGAAAACAAATCCAACCTGTCCCCACCCTGTCTTCAAGACAACCACTCATTCCAGATAGAATCGAATAAACCTCCTCTGAAAAGCCTCCAATGCATTTTGTTCTTCCTCAAAAAATAGACCAAAACTGTACACAGTCTTTGAGATATGGTCTCACCAATATCCTGTATAAGTGAAGCATTACATCATTACTTTTATGTTTAATTCCTGTTGTAATAAAAGACAGTATCCATTAATTATATGCTGTACCTGCATACTAACCTTTTGAACTCAAATCCTTCTGCACCTTAGAACTCCACAGTCATTCTCCATGTAAGTAATACTCTCTTAAATTCTTCAGCCATAGTGAACATGTTCACATTTTCTTATGTTATTATACTACTGTCAGAGTTCTACCCATTCACTCGATCTATCTACATTTGTCTGTAACCTCCTTATAGGATCATAGAATCTCTACAATGCAGAAGCAGGCCATTCAGCCCATCGAATCCACCTAATCTACGCATCTCTGGAGACTATAGGCGACTTAGCATAGCCAGTCCATATAACTTGCATGTGTTTGGGCTGGAGGAAACTCATGCAGACACTGGGAAGATGTGCAAACTCCACACAGACAGTCACCCAAGGGTGGAGTCGAAGCCGGGTTCCTGGCGCTGTGAGGCAGCACTGCTATCTGCTGAGCCATCGTGCTGCCCTTACGTCTTCTTCATAACACACTTTGCTCCTATATCTGTCAGCTGTGAGTTTAGCTACTGTGCTTTTGCTCTCTTCATTTAAAACATTGATGTAAATTATATAAAGTTGAGGCCTCAGCATAGACTCCTGCAAAACTCCACTCATCACCTCCTGCCAATCAGACAAAAACTCATTTGTGCATTGTTTTCTGGCAATCTTCTTTCCATGTTAAGACGAAGCCAACTATACCATAAGTTTATATTTTCTGCAGTAACCTTTGTGATACATTTCCAGAGGGATTTTGACAATCCAAGTACAATACATCTAGAGGCTCCAGTAGAGAACTACAATAAATTGATTAGATATGATTTCCCTTTGAAATTATGCTGACTCTTCCCAATTACCTTGAGTTTTTCTAAGTGCTATAATCTCTTTAATGATCAATTCTAACCCCTTCCCCTCGGCAGATAGCAAGCTAACTGGCCTATGGTTTGCTGTTTTCTGCCTAGCTCTCTTCTTGAATAGAGGAGTCATATTTACTACTTTCTAGTCTGACGGAATCTTTCCTGAATGGATCAAATTTTGGAAAATTAACACTAACTCACCTACCCCATTAGCCATCTCTTTTAAGACCCTATGATGAAGACCATCTTGATCTTTCCAAAGCTTTTTAGAGAGGATTTTATCAAAGTAAAGCTACAAACAGCAGCAATATGAGATTGTTGGCTTGCTCACTGAGCTGGCTGGTTATTGTACAGATGTTTTATCACCATGCTAGGTAACATCATCAGTGTGGCCTCTGACGAAGCGATGTTGTTCTGCCCCACTTAGTATCTGTATGATCCGGTCTGTTAAGTTGGGTTGTGTCATTTCCGGTTCTGTTCTACGTGGGTTTGTATAGGGGGTCTAATTCCACGTGTTTTTTTATTACATTATGGGCTGAAAACCAGGCCTTTAGGAATTCCCATGCATGTCTGTGGGTGGCTTGAGCTAGAATGGTCAAGGACACGCACGGGAATTCCTAGAGGCCTGGTCTTCAATCTATTATGTAATCAACAAACGTGCAATTAGACCCCATATGCAAACCCATGCAGAACAAAACCAGGAATGACACAACCCAACTTAACAGACCGGATCATATAAATACCAAGTAGAGTAGAACAATGTCGCTTCATTGGAGGCCATGCTGATGATGTTACCTAGTGTGGTGATGAAATGTCTGCACAGTAACCAGCTAGCTCGGCGACCAAGGCAACAACCTCATCCACAATCTGAGCTACAGATCTTTGCAAGAACCTTAAAGAGCAGTGATATACTAAATTATAGATTGAAAACTTTAATAGAAGCTTTGAAGATGATGAGGGTCTGGGAAAAGTAAATAAGGAGAAACTGTCCCCATACCATCCTCCATTTAAAAAAGGATCAAGAATGAGAAGGCACATATATAAGGTAATTTGCAAAAGAGGAATATTTGATGTGAGAAAATCTTTCTCACATAGCAAGTAGAATGGTTTAGTAGAAATAGAAGGTTTAGAATGCACTACCTGGAATTATGATGGAAGCCTTTTCAGTTGAGGCATTCAGGAGGACATTATCTAATATTTCAAATAGAAAAAATATTCATAGCTTATGGGGAAAAGACAGGAGAATAGCACAGTCACAAAGCTCATTCAGAGCGTTAGGTGTGATGGGCCGAATGGCCTCCTTCTGCATTGAAACAATTCTGTGATTCTGGGGTGAGGTTAATGAACTGAGTAGCCTTTATAAGGTGATCATCTGTTTGCTTGTTTGCTTCTTCACTATCGAGAACATTGGTGATGATTTATGTTTACCGTTGTGGAATGTACTATATAGAACTTCAGTGTTGGTGAAAATAGCCTTTGAATTTCAATGCTTTCCTTCATTTGATCTCTTTTAGACGAAATGTATTTGCCACACATGAGGAAAATTGATAGCATGCTGAATGAGAACAAAAGAAGAATGATTTCCAAGTTCCCACTGGAACCAGCACTCAAAGTAAGAATCTTTATTAAAACTGTACTTGCTACTGTTTAAAATACTGTCTTTCAGCATAAAGCTACAGCATCCACATAAAAATATTGTTTAGTACAAAAAGCTGGTTAGTTACTTACTGATCCTGATAGTGTTTGGGAACAGTGGATTGTAATGTCATTACTAGTAGTGCTAATGTTTATCTACTGGAATCTGAAGGATAAAATCTGTTTTCATTGAAAGAAATTAGTTTCATCACATTACATTTCGTTTATCATGCAACATCAATTTGACATTCTATGGCAGTACAATACTAAAGTCTATGTTGAAATTATTTAAGCTTTCAAGTTGCAGTTCGAGCATAGCAGGAATCGAGTTGCAGAGCAATTTAACCTGATTTCCATAATTATAAGTAATCTGCAGAAATAACCATTGATATTTGGAGAAGTATGTTATCACCACTGTTTTAATGTAAACAACAAAATGTTCACAATTTATTGCAAAAGAAGTGGAACTGGATAGAAGGATGCACAAATATTTTGTGGAACTGGGCAAAGGAACATTGAGAGGTTTTACTTCAGTAATGGAATAGTTGATGCAGAATACTTAGATCATGTGATAATGAAGGTTTTTTTCTGAGAAGCTCTCCTAAGGCTCTTGTGTAATCTGAAGATCTTGTCTCAGTGATTGCCATTGACTTTTATTTTTTTAAAAATTGTTTTAATGGTAAATAGAACTTCACTGATTTGTTTAAATATGCTATCAGATAAAAATGACTAATTATCAATTTTCTGTTTTTGGTGCCACCCAGTTGTATACAGTTGCAGTTTCTTGGGAGACACAGTAAAATGACTTTCCTTTGCTTCTATACACTCAGTACAAACAAACATCTGTGTCTCCATGTTCCCTGATAAATTTGTAATTATTTGTTTTAACTCTTTGGTGTGGAAATTGTGTGGGCTAGTCAGAAAGTAGCTTCAATACCTTTTCGAAGTTTCTTTTGTTGTACTGGTATAATTGTATTACTTGCTGAAAAAAGACATATTTTGCAATCGGCAGAATACTGATAAGGGGATATTTGTACGGAGGGAGAGGAGAGTACTGATTGATTGGCAAGTGGACTCTGGCAGAGGCATTACCATGGAGAATGCAGCAATTAATAGAACAGCACAGAACAGGAACAGGCCCTTCAGCCTACCATGTCTGTGCCAACGATGATGCCATTCTAAACTAATCCCATCTACACACACATGGTCATATTGCTTTATTTCCTGCATCTGCCTAAATGCCTCTTAAACTTTTCTCACGTATCTGCTTCTACCACCTCCCCAGGCATCTACCACCCTCTGTGTAAAAACGCATTCCTGCATATCTCCCTTAAATGTTTCCCCTCTCATCTTAAACCTGTGCCTACTAATATTTGACATTTCTACCTGGGAAGGAGACAGCTGCTATCCACTCTATCCATGCCCCTCATAATTTTATATACTTGTGTCAGGTTGCCCCTTAGGCTCTGATACTCTAGTGAAAACAATCCAAGTTTGTCCAATCCCTCCTTATAGCTGATATACTCCAATCCAGGCAACATCCTGGTGATCCTTATTGTACCCTCTTCAAAGTCTCCACATCCTTCCTATAGTGTGGGGACCAGACTGCACACAATACTCCAAATGTGCCATAACAAAAGTCTTGTAAAGCTGCAACATGACTTGGCAAGTCACTGCCCCAGTGATGAAGGTAAGCATGCTGTATGCCTTCTTTACCATCTTATTCACTCATGTTGCCACTTTCAGGGAGCTATGGGCTTGAACCCCAAGATCTCTCTGTATCAATGCTTCAAATCGTTTGGCCATTAAATGTATACTTTCGTCCTGCGTTTGACCTCCCAAAATGCATTGCATCACATCACTCTTGCCTGGATTTAAACTCCACCTGCCATTTCTCTGCCCAATTTTCCAACTAATCTTTATCTTGCTGCATCCTTTGATAACCTTCCTCACTATCCAGAACTCCAGGTCCCAGCACTGATCCTCGTAGAACATCACTGGTCACATACCTCCAGTCAGAAAAACATAACTACCCTCTATCTCTTATGGCCAAGCCAATTTTGCATCCAACATACTATGGATCCCTTATGACATAATCTTCTGGACCAGCCTACCACGACAGACCTTGTCAAATGCTTTTGTTAAGTCCGTTCAGACAATATCCACTGCCATACCCTCATCAATTATCTTCATCACTTCCTCAAAAATCAAGTTTCCGAAACAAGGTATCCCCTGCATAAAACCATGCTGAATATCCCTAATAAGATCATTCTTTTCCAGATGCAAGTAAATCCTGTCCCTACGAATCTTCTGTAATTTCCTTACGACTGACTTAAGGCTCACCAGCCTATGATTTCCTGAATTATCCTTGTTGCCCTTCTTAATCAAAGCAACAATGTTGATTATTCTCCAGTCTCTGGGACCTCACCCGTGGATAAAGAGTATATAAAGATCTCTGTCAAGACCCACCAATCTCTTACCTTGCCTCCTTCAGTATCCTGGGATAGATCCAATCAGCCCTTGGGGATTTATTTTCCTTAATGTTTTTCAAGATACCTAACATTATCTCCTCAATATCAACATGCCCAAAATAGTCACATACTCTTCCATCATCTTATCAACTTGCATGTCCTTCTCCTTGGTGCCTACCAATGCAAAGTACTCTTTAAGGACCTCGCCTACTTCCTCTAGCTCCATGCATTAATTCCCTTCTTTGTCCTTGAGTGGATCTACCCTTTCCCTAATTGCTCTCTTTCTTCTGATATATGTATGAAATGCCTTCAGATTCTTCTTAATCCTACTTGCCAAGAACGTTATGTTACTCCTTCTAGCCCTTCTAATTTTTTTTGTTTAAGTTCTTTCCTGTTTCCTTTATATTCCTCAAGGCCCTTGTTTGATTTCAGTTTCCTAAACCTTACAAATGCTTCCTTTTGTCTTTTTGACCAAACTTTCAATATATTTTTTTCATTTGGGACATCTAATGATGTTTGACTATTAACTACCAGTTTTTGTTTGGAGTTTAAAATGGGCAGATTGATTCTGATTGTTCAGGATATTGCCTAAGAAATGATTAAATGAATTCTTTCAGCTGTTTTATTGAGTTGAAGCAAGTGCAGTGCTTGCACATGTTCTTGCTGTCTATAAATAACAGGGTCCTGTGTATTAGTATATACAATTTGCAGGATACACAATTGTGTCACACTGTTGCAAGTGTAATTCTTCATACAGTCTGGATTATACAATAAATATTGCCTAGTTGCAGAACTCCAATATTGCACGTTCTGCAAGTGCGATTAGGAGTAGTCAGTACCATGTTGCAAACAGCTAAGTGAATATGCTCGTTGGTATGATCTGTCAATCTTTGGGTGGTATGGCCTATATACCCTTCATACATCTTTTTGGGTTTGAGGGAAGGTGACGTCCTAGTAGTTTTGTCGTTAGACTGGTAATCCAGAGACCCAGGTAATGTTCTAGTGACCCGAGTTCAAATCCTGCCGCACAAATGGTAGAATTTGAAGCTCAAAAATTAAGAATTAAACATCTAATAATGACTAATATCAGTTAAGAAGGAAACTGCTGTCCTTATCCGGTCTTGCCTACATAACGTTCCAGAACCACAGCAATATGGTTGACACTTGACTGCCTCTGAAATGGCCTATCAAAACTGTTTACTTGCTGAGCTATTACTCAGTTATATCAACTGGTAGAAAGGAAAAAAGCAACAAAACTGGGCAGATCACCTGGCATTGACTAAGGCACCAGAAATGACAATGACAAACATGGCACTGTTGACCCTGAAAAGTCTTACCAACATTTGGGGGCTCTTACCACAATTGGGAAGTTTGCTACAGACCAGTTAAGCAACAGCTTAATCTAGTCTTATTCATGGTAAGCAATGTCCCAGACAACACTATTACATGCACTCTGTCTTGTCCCGCTACCAGGACAGACCCAGAAGAGGTTGAGTAACAATGATATACGATTGGGAAGGAGTTGACCTAGGAGTCCTCAGCATTGACTCCGGAACCTGTGGAGTTTCGTGGCATTAGGTCAAATGTGAACAAGGAAACCTGCATACCATATCCCTTGACATCAACACTTTCCAAAAAAATATCCAGTGCCCTCTTGAATAACTAAATTGAAAATGCCTGCACCACTTTTGCAGGCTGTACATTCTGTACCCTAATATATCACTGCACCAATGAGTTTTTTTCATATGACCGTTGCTTTATTTGCAAATTATTTTAAATCTATGCCCTCTCGTCTTTCTTACTTTTACAAGTGGAAACAGCTTCACCCTATCTACTCTGTTCAGCCCACTTATGATTTTGGAAACTTCAATCAGATCTCCTTTCAGCCTCTTCTCCAAGGAGGACACTCCTAGCTACTTCAATTTATCCTCATAGCTGAAGTTTCTCCTACCTGGAACCATTGCAGTAAATCGCTTCTGCACTTTCTCCAGTGGATGTGTATATTTCCTGTAATGTAGTGCCCACAACTGTACGCAGTACTCCAGCTGAGGTCTAACCAGTGTCTTGCACAAGTTTAACATCATCTCATTGGTTTTGTACTTTATGCCCCGATTAACAAAGCCAAGAGCACAGTAGCTTTACTGACTGCACTCTCCAACTATCTTGCCACCTTTAGTGATCTACGCAATATACTGTAAGATCCCTCTGCTCCTGCACCCTGTTTGGAAAGATACCCGCTATTGTCTTTGTGTTCTCCAGACCAGAGTGCGTCACCTCACACTTCTGTGCATTGAAACTTATTTGCTGTCTATCCACCCACTCCACCAACTCTATTTGGAGTTCTACACCACCCTCACAATTTACAGTTCTTCTAAATTTAGTGTCATCTGCAAACTTTGAAACTGCCCCCTGCATACCAAGATCCAGGTCATTAATATATATCAGGAAATGCCACTTTCTCACCACCGACACCTGGGGAACTCCACTATGAGCCTTGCTTCAGCCCAAAATATATCTGTTGGCCAACTCTGTCTGTTTTCTATCACCTAGGCCAATTTTGTTTCCATATTGCCGATAGCCCTTTTACAGCATGACCTACAACTTTGCTCAAGTCTGTTGTGAGGTACTGTATCAAATTCCCTCTGGAAATTCATATACCGCATAAAATGTGTTACCCTCATCAACTGTTTCTGTTACCTGTTCAAAAAAAGCTGCAATAATTACAATTGCTCGTTTAGAAATCCATGCTGACTCTTCCTAATCAACCCATCTTTACCCACGTATTTAATTCTGTCCTGAATAATTGTTTCCAAGCGTTTTCCCTGCTACCGAAGTTAAACTAACTTGGCTGTGATTGCTTAGATTATTGTTACAATCTTTCTGTAGAAATTCACCACACTCGTTAAACAGAACCTTCCAAACACATGACACTACCATCTGGAAGGACCAAGGGCAATAAATATTTGGAACATCACCTACAAAGTCCCTCCAAACCACTCAACATGCTTCTCGGAAATACTTTGCCATTCCTTCAATATTGGAGGGTCAAAATCCTGGAGCTTGCTTCCCTGCGGCATGTGAACACATCTGCACCAAATAGATTACAGTGGTTCAAGAAGGCAGTTCACCACCATTACTACCTCAAAGGCAACTAAGGATTGGCAATAAATGCTGGCCCTGCCAGCGATGGCCACATCCTGTCAGTGAACTGAAAAGAAAGAGGTCTGAGGAAAGTTACCTGCACTTAAAGGTAATAAATCAGGAGGATGGCTGTGATGCATCCAAGGTACTGAGGGAAGGAGGAGTGGAAATTGCAGCGTCACTGGCGTTAATCTTACGATTCTCCATCAATAATCTGGAACAAAATTAACAGTTACTTAGACTAATGTGGATTAATTAAGGAAAGTTGACGTAGACTTGTTAAGATCAATCAAGTTTGTTTAATTTGATTGCATTTTATGATCACATACTGAGAACATTGATGAGCATGATGAAGTTGATATGAGCACATGGTTTTCAAAAGATGTTTGATAAACTGCCATATAACAGGAAAGTTGAAGTCCGTCATAAAGATTTTCCAGTACTTGATCAGTAGCCTTATATGTTATGGCTTTCAAGTCTTTATCTAAATACTACTAGAATGGTGAGGGTTCCTCCATCACCCTTTTCGTGCAGGAAGTTCAATAGATCCCCAAACTTCTGGGTGAAGAAATGTTTACTAAAATAGCCTTTAAACTTTCTGCTACTTCCCTTAAATTGGTGCCTCCTGGTTATTGACCCCTATAAGGGGAAACAATTCTTGCTGTCCTACTATGCTCCTCAGAATGTTGTGTACCTCAATCACATCCCCCCCCTCCCCCCTTAGCCTTCTCTGCCCTAAGAAAAGCAACCCCATCTTATCTAGTCTGTCTTAATAGGTAGAATGCTTTAGCCCAGGCAACATCCTGGTGAATGTTCTGTGCACCCTCTCCAGTGCAGTTAGATCCTTGGAGGACTGCATTTAGTCCTCCAGCCGTGGTCTAACTAACATTATATACAGTTCCATCATAACCTCCTTGCTCTAGGATTCAGTGCCTTGACCAATAAAGGCACATTTTCCATATTTATGGATAACCAACTCATTTATCTGGTCCTGCTGTTTTCGAGGATCTAAGGACATGCACTCCTTTGTACTTTCTAGTGTTAGAACCCAAACTGATTTTTCACTATTTTTATTCTTTTAACAATTTTTGGAGCTGTGGACTGGGAATTACGAGCTGAAGATGACTTGTGGACTTTAGGAAACGGTGGTGAAAGGAAAAGCCATGATGTTGAGGTGCCAGTCTTGGACTGGGGTGAACAAAGTCAGAAGTCACACAACACCAGGTTATAGCCCAACAGGTTTATTTGAAATCGCAAGCTTTCAGAACACTGCACTGAAGCCTTCACCTGACAAAGGAGCAGCGCCCTAAAAGCTTGTGATTTCAAATAAATGTGTTGGGCTATAAGAACTAGGAGCAGGAGTAGGCCGTCTGGCCCTTCGAGCCTGCTCCGCCATTCAATAAAATCATGGCTGATCTTTTCGTAAGATCCACTTACCCGCATTCTCACCGTATCCCTTAATTCCTTTATTGTTCAAAAAAAATTTACCTTATCTTTAAAAACGTTTACTGAAGTAGCGTCAACTACTTCACTGGGCAAGGAATTCCATAGATTAACAACCCTCTGGGTGAAGAAATTCCTTCTCAATTCGGTCCTAAATCTGCTCCCTCTAATCTTGAGGCTATGCCCTCTTGTCCTAGCTTCACCTGCCAGTGGAAACATCCTCTCTACTTCTATCTTATCTATTCCCTTCATAATTTTATGTTTCGATAAGATCCCCCCTCAATCTTCTGAATTCCAATGAATATAGTCCCATATAACCAGGAGTCGTGTGACTTCTGACTTTAAAAGGAAAGGAATAGACCAAACAAGCTTTTGTTAGTTTGAGAGATCAGGCCTGCAGGTTAATTGCAGACTGATTCCTCATTTAAAGGGGTTCCTTCAGATACGGCAACCCTAGGAAGAGCATTGTGTTAAAACAGATAGAAGAATTGGTTATTACCAAGGAAATGGTCCTCACAAGTTTGGAAAAGCTCTTGTACTCAAGCAAACGGTAAATGGTGAATGAAGCCTCAGGAAAAGACAGTCAATTTCATCAGGATGAGGCCGTAGGTCAAGTTGTTTTTTGAACTATGCTTTCTGGGGAGAAGAGGTTGACTGCTGACAACACAGAATGAAGTTTTGAAAGCTCCCTGCTTAAACTCCCTTAAAAGCTTTTGAAAACCCAAAGAGTAGAAAACTGAATTTTTGAAATATTGCTACCTTTACCTGAGTGTACTGAAAAGGTCACCCTGATCAATGTCTCCAGAAACACAACCAAGGAGTCCACATCTATGCCTGTGAAACCATGCAGCTGGAAAGACATTTAAGTAATCTGGCCAGTTCTATTATTCTCTCTTATTTATCCCTTAATGGTGTTTGTTGTGTGAATGGGAGCTGAAAGCGAATGGTTTGGTTTAAAGCACAGACATTAATTAGATTTCCTTGTTTAATTTATTACTCTGCTAAAGTTATTGTATAGTTAATAAATTGACATCTCTTGTTTGAAATATAGAATGGTGTCTGGAATTCATTATTCGCAAAGTCTGGAATTGATTATTCAGATGTCTGGTTAGGAACTATTGAAGTAACTATTGAGGTTTTACGAAAGGTTTAGTTTTATTATGTTGTGAATACGGAGGTAAAAAGGCTAATTTGGTTTCGCTGTCTATCTCCGTGTTGTGACGCTAGAGTCCTAGCATTCTATTGTATTCCCTTGACTTGTTGCCCTCCTAAAATGCATTACCTTCTACTTTGAGGATTAAATTCCATTTACCATTGATCTGCCAAATCTGCCCATCTAAATCATCCTATAGACTATGGTTTTCCTCCTTGTTATTTACAACAACACCAATTTTCATGTCATCTGCTGAACTTAGTGATTGACCCTCCTATATCCATGTCAAGAAAGAAGCCACTAAATAAAAGGGACAGTGGCAACAAGAACACTAAGTTGGTTGAATGACCGTATAGAGTGGTGAATTATTGTTCATCAGACTTGGGGAACAGCATATAGTGGGATTCCTCTGAATGCTAGTGTTATTTTTGATACATTGTTAACCTTGACTTGAGATGTAGAACACAAGTTCAAACTTTACACATGGCTCAAAACTTGAAAATTTTGTGAATTTTGATCAAGATTGTGGTAGATTTAAAGAAGACGTGGACAGGTTGGTGAAATGAACAGGCAAATAGCAAATGAAACTTAATGCACAAAGTAAGAAGTGATTTATTTTGGTAGGAAGAATGAGTATAAAAGATAGAATTTTAAAGGATATATGGGGTGTGGCATATGTGCTTAAATCATTGCAGGTGATGAGGCAGTTTTAGAATGTGGTTAATAAGGCAATGGGATCCTGACTTTATAAGCAGAAGTAAAAAGTACAAAAATCTTTTAAAAAAATTCGTTCAGCGTCAACTGGAATATTTTGTCCAATCCTGGGCAGTAGTGTCGGCACAGGAGAGGGTTCACAAAAGTTTAACAAGAACAGTTCCAACCATGAGGGATTTCAATAACAATGAGAGATTACAGCAACAAGTATTCAAATCATAAAGGATCTGAACAGTGTAGATGGTTAGGAAGTGTTCCTGTTTGAGGCAAGATTGAGAACCAAATGACATTGCTTTAAAATGACTGGCAAAAGAACTGGGGGGGGAAAAATGCTTTATGAATTGAGTGATCAAGATCTGGAACACCATGCTAGAGAGTATGGTGAAGGTAGGTTCAGTTTGGCTTTTGGAAGGAAATTAGATCTTCATCTAAAGAGAAAGGATCAGCAGGGCTATGCGCTGAAATAGAGTGGGATGGGCTGAGATTGTTCTTACAGAAACACTGCAATGACCTGAAGGGCTAAGTAGTTTCTTTCTAAGGTTCTTGAGTAGATTTGTAGCTCGAGTTGTGGATGCTGTGGTTAGTTCGCTCGCCGAGCTGGTTCGTTAGTTTGCAGATGTTTCATTACCCTGCTGGGTAACATCATCATTGCAGCCTCTGATGAAGCGCTGTTGTGTTTTCCTGCCTGTTATTTAAACTCTGGAGTCTGTTGGAATTGGTTACCTCATTTCTGGATTTTCTTCGCAGTAGTGTGTATATAGGGTCTAATTCTACGTGTTTATTGATGGCCTTGGTGGCGAACCAAGCCTTTAGAAATTCCTGTGCTTGTCTCTGTTTGGCCTGTCCTGGAATCTTGATGTTGTCCCAATCGAAATGATGGTTCTCCTTATCCATGTGAACTCCATACTCACTCGTCTCCATTACACAGTAGTTTCTTTCTGTATAGTAACTATTCTATAAATTTGTTTTGTTTTGCAGACTTCAATGGAGAATTTTCCTGAACTGACTACATGTGTCTCAGGAGCAAAAAGCAGCAATCCAAATGTGCCCAAAATTAAATTGAGTGGTAAAAGTTACAACAAAAAGACTCTCCAGCCATTAAAACAAAATGCCAAGGGCCAAAAGGTAAGGTGTTTAGAATTGGTCTAATGTTCTTTTTCCTCCAAATTGATGTCTGTTCTAACACACACGATTTGGCAACTAGTTCATCAAGGCTTTTGCAATTTCTACAACGACTTTTGCAATTATTTGGCTTTAGGGAATAACGTTTACCTTTTTGTTGATCACAGACTCCTTTTCCATCAATTGAAAGAAAATCCAAACTGCGGGTGCTGGAAATCAAAAACAAAAATGGAAGTTGTTGGAAAAGCTCAGCAGGTCTGGCAGCATCTGTGGAGAGAAAGCAGAGTTAACCTTTCGAGTCCAGTGACCTTTCTTCAGAACTGATTTTAGCTAGGAAAAGTTTGGTATATATGTTGAAGATGGGGTGAGGGGAGGAGTAAGCAATAGATGGAGATGGAGCCCAGAGAAAGAGAAAAACAGTTGGGCAGGCAAAGGAATGGGTAAAGGTCAGCCTGAGACAATAGCTGCTAATGGGCGACCACCAGTCGCTGACAGTTTGTTTGTGTTAGAAGCCCAAGTGATGACAGGGGCAGACCATATTGTGAGCATTCAACACCTGCATTCCGTCTGCAAAAATGACCCTGAGTTTCCTGTTACCTGCCACTTCATCATACTGCCATATTCCCTGGCAAACATCTCTGTCTCAGGGTTGCTGTAGTTCTCAGCACAACCTGGAAGAAAACTTTATTTTCCACTTGACAATCCCACAGCCTTCGGGACTTGATATCAAGTTCAATAATTTCAGGGCCCAAGCACCTTTTCTCATGTCTTACCCCATCCTCCACACACTAGACCTTGCCATCAGGTGGGCTTCTACCACAAACAGCCCATTGTCAGCCACTGGAGTCTCTATTAGCAACTATTTATTCTCCCAGGCTGACCTTTACCCATTCCTTTGTCTGCCTGACCACTTTTCTCTCTCCCTGGGCTCCACCTCCACCTCCCCCCTCAAGCCATCTTCAGCATATATACCAAGCTCTTCTTGGCTAAAATCACTTCTGAAGAAGGGTCACTGGATCCGAAATGTTAACTCGGTGCTTTTTCTCCACAGATGCTGCCAGACCTGCTGAGCTTTTCTCAGCAGTTTCTGCTTTTGTTTCCCATCAATCATAAGTCCTAAAAACAACTTTGTATATTGAATAATTCCAGTCAAGAGAAGCTGTTTCTTTTATAGGAGTTATGCTAAATTCTACTATGTCATTTATTTAAATATACTTGTCACAACTCTTTTTGCATAAATTTGGTAATTATGAGGATAGCTTCACTGCTAGAAATGTAATTATACAGAGGTTTGAGTATGATGATTAACATATATAGTTTTTTTAGATACTCTGTGATCACTATAACTATGACTTCTCTTTTTCATCTAAATTGGGATGAAATTATGTTTGAAAATGGATATGACATAGCTTTTGAAATAGATGATTATATCATGAAATGCCCAAGATGGGATGAGTAGAAAATGTTGGAAAAAACTTCAGATTGTTATAAAGACACCATGCTTAGTGTTTTGCTTGGAGGATTTAAGTTTTGAAGGAATGTGAATTTATTTATTTAGAGTGGTTTCTTTGGAGTGGTCGTTGAAAAGCACTGTAGACACTGGAGATTTTTTAAACACTGCTTCCAAGAAATCATGACTAGCGATAACTGCTTTATCTGCTGTATAGGCCTGCTTGAGCTGTTCGAATAATGAGTGGATGGAGATTGCCATTGCTATCTGGAATTAGTTGGGGAATATGAAGCTTGTGAGGGTGGTCTACCTAGCTGATCTCTCCTGTTTTCTGAAAAGAACCCTAATGTTGAGTTCAAAGTGAAACCTACTACTTCCTAATGAAAGAATGAACTTCTGAATACAATGTTTTCTGAGTAAACTGTTTGCTGAACTCTAGAGATAATTGTTTGTGATTAGTGATTTGAACAGATAAGCCAGTGCATCAGGAAAATAGATTTTGGAACATTCTACACTTTATCCTTTCTGCCTTCAAGAGTAATCTAAAGGCCAGGAAGTGATTTTTTTTTTTGTCAAGTGAATCTCTGCAGAGAGAAATCTAATTTTTAATTTTTTTATCCTGAAATGTGTTATTTTTGGGTTATTTAGGTTTAACAATTATGTTGCTATATCACTGACTGACAGTTTATGTTCACAAGTTCTTCTACCTTGAATAAGTTTTGATTTGATAATAAGCACAATTATTGATTTATTAAATAAACCTGGTTGATAGATCTTTAAAATGTATTTGATTGGCCATCTTGAAAATTGGGATGTGTTGTGATCTGCTGAGTACCAAGACCAAAGCAATAGTCCCTCATGCCTTGGTCGCAACAAGATCAAAATTCCAATATTTCCTGCATTAATTGTCGAGGTAACTAGATAAAAATCACACAAAATATTTGTCAATGAAATGCTGTTAATATTTGATCAGATGTCTACATTTTAATGCATCATAATCACATCAGTTGGCTGAATGATCAGTTAAATCTTTCTACAGAATTTTACAATTATTCTGTATTTTAAACTTAGGAATTCACTGTTGATCAAGAAAAATTACAGTGCTGTACTTTATATCACACACTTCATCACTATAAGTATCACACCTACCTGGTATGCAAGAAAGAGGTGAGCAATTAATATTCTACTATGTCTTGTATTGCTTGAATTCTTTTATTGTGTTTAAAATTGCAACAGACTGAAACAAATCCCAGAGTAATTTTATAATTCCTGTGTTTAAAAATTGAGTTTTTGGCATGTCTTCCAAAAATGCATATTGTAATCCGGAATTTGTTCAAAAATGTGCTCTTTGCTCTGAAGATTTTGATGGGTCATCTCACATCACCTTATTCATAAGTTGACATAGATTTAAATAAAGTACAGAGGTCCCACTGATTCCATAATGGCAGAAAATTGTATTTTCATTTTTAATAGATCAGGGTGTGTGCAAAGTTTGGTTATCTAATATTCTATTATATTTATCGTGAATGAAAGTCAGTTGACCTACAGGAACTTCAGTCATCAAACATTTTATTCTGTTCATATGAAAAGATATTCATCAATGCAAAGCTGAATCTACTGTAAATATTGAACTTTTCTAAAGTTTTTCAACTATTCATTTGGACAGGCTGCTTCCATTCTAAAACTGAATAAAGATCTTGGCCAAGTTGAAACAATCCAGCAATGTATGGAAAACGAGAAATGGGTGGAAGACCTCTTTGAAAAATTTGGTGATCTTCTGACACAAGCACAGCAGAAGTGTTTATAATGTACATTATGAGATTTTACTACAGTCGTATCTGTGGCATTAACATAATATCATGGAGACATTGAAATGAACTTTGGCATCCCCAGTGGTGCTAGGCTAGGCTCAGCTCTGAATAGTGGCAATAGTGGCCTGGACTATATGGACCTTGTATGTCGACCTATAGCTACATGGACATGGTTGTCAAGAAAATACATTTTGGCATTGGGAGTTTATTAATTATTGTGTCTAACCACATTTTTATGATGGCCAACGTTTTTGGTTTATTTGTATTCTGTGATCTTGAGGTATTGAGTAACATCTATTTCAAAAAATGAAACAATTTTTAATAAAACTTTTGTGACCGATCAAAGTGGCAAGGCATGCACTAAGTATATTATAATTTTCTTTACTACCGTAGTTTAAACACTTTAGGAAACTGTTTAGTTCAGCAAGAAATGCTTTAAATTGATTACCTGCCTCTTACTGACCTACAAGACAATACAGAGGCAACCATATATCTTTCTAATGTCTGCCTACCAAATTTCCACACGTGTCGTAAAGAAAGTTGGTGTGTATTGACATTCTTTAAAGTTACCATCAGCAAATAGGTAATTTTTGTTGCTTTACAGACTCCTTTTATGTTCAGAAATAGCAAGTTCAGGAGACTGAACATGGAGTTGGTGCAATTCAATAACTTTGTGTCAGTTCTGGTGATGAAAACGTGATGAACACATCTATTTTCCCTGTTTTGAAGAAAAAATTATTTTGCCTTTATACCCATATTTCTTTAAAATAAATTGTACATTTTATCTCATCAATAATTGTATTTTTCAGAGAAAATATTGTGGTTTGAATTAAGTTCATTTATCTTTGTAATACACTTTGAATTGTTTTCAGCAAATTTTCATTTATATGTTGATCACATTGTATACTTTATATACTGAGGTAAACTACTATTTCTGTTTTCCTGTTAATACAAGATTGCTTCAGTGTGTACCAGATATGCATATTGGACTAGTTTTGCCTTTTAAGTGTAGCTGTGTTACACATTGCAATTATTTTCTGATACATGAAAATAAATTTCATACTAAACCTAAAGCCAAAGAAGTTTATATTGCACCAGGAGAACTGTTTAACAACTCAGCAATATAGATAGTACATTTGTAAGTGTAGTTTAATTCAATATGGTTTGACTGTTACTATGGATAATATTTTCTCGAATATTGTCACCCTGGTGGTTTATCTTGCGCTCTGATTGTTACTTGCCGTTCTATGCATCATGTTTTACTCTACTGAAATAACCCTTAAAAATGTCTACCATTTTAAAATTCCTCTTCCCATGTTTATTGTGTCTTTGAGTTATTAATGTTACATATTGCTTCCAAAATATCTGAAATAGTTCTAAATGTTTTCATCTACATTTAAAAAAAAAAGTTACTGTTAGGAATGCAACAGTTTTGCATTTTGAGATCCAGGCCGAACATCAAAAGTTCCTGTTGAGTACAGCAGTATTTAACGCTGTCTTCAACAATCACCTTAAACTCTCATCTACAGAGGAGTGCAGCAGTGAGACTTTTTCTTATCAGTTGACTCTTCAATCATTCTGAGTGAGATTGATTGCTTGTACTATGGAATAGTATTTGACCTGGAATCTATAACTTTCACAGTGCCCAGATTTAACAGCAACGTGTTTTAGAAACAGTATTATTGTGATCTGTAACAATCCAGGGTTCCTTTACAGGACTTCACAGATAAAGTCTGACACTAAATGAGATGCTGGGCAAGATAACCAAAAGTTCAAGATGTAGATTTTGAGGGGCAGACACATTAAAACTCCAAAGCTTAGAACTTACAGTTGGAAGGGTGAAAGGAATCAGGGGGTATAAGAGGCCTGTGTAGGAAGAATGGAGAGTTATCATGAGGTCATATGTGACGAAATTGAGCATTGTTTGTAAATTAGCAAGAACAAGTGTAGGTCAGCTGGACTTTCCTACCCATATCCGAGTTCACACTGTGGTGTACCTGAGTTCAAGGTTCCAGATGGTGGCATGCAAGCCAGGAGAATTTGAGATAGTTGAGTTAAAAGCATAGATGAGATTTTGGCAACCAATTTGCTCAGGCAGGAGTGGAAGCTGTAAATATTCGAGAGGTGATGGAGAGGATGTAGTCTCTGTTTTTGTCAGGTAATTCTCTGAATGCATGTCCTAAGTATTCATGTAGACTTTCAAGAACAAAAAGTCAAATTTGTATTTTCACCATGTATAGCACGCAACTGGATTTAGAACGCTGCAAAGTGACTAAAGTGACCTTTCAGTGACTAATAGTGAATAAACTCATCTGAGTTAATGGAGAGACAAACTAAAATAAACACCAGTGTAAAGCACATGCAGGAGCAGATGAACTTGGGTGTACAAGAGCAAGGGATTTATGTTGAACTTTAAGTAAGACACTAGATTGACCTATGCTGGAATATTGCATACAATTCTAAACACCTGAACCTTGAGCAGGATGTGAGTCATTGGAGAGGCAGTGCGAAAGAGTTTTATGGGAGTGGTTCCAGGGATGAGGAATTTCAGCAGTGATGATAGATTGAGAAGCAGGCATGTTTCTCCTTGGAAAGTATCATGCTGAGAGGAGACCTGATTCAAAATCATGAACAGTCTAGGACAGTATGAATAAGGAAAAAGTATTCCAACCTTTGAAAGAAGAGAGTACAATAGAAGACCAATTTTAAATTAATTAATAAAAAAAAAAGGTGCTGTGTGGGAAAAACGTTTTCATGTAATGTGGTTATGATCTGGAATGCACTGCTTGAGATTGTTGGAAGCAGGTTCAGGTGAGGCATGGAAGAGTATGCAAAGTTACAGAAAAAAGGCAGGAGAATGGCAATATCTGAGATGCTCATTTGGATAACTGACACAGACATAATGTATCATGTTCTCATTCAGTGCAGTAACAGTTCTGATATTCTGAGAGTTATTCACACTGGGTTTGTCTTTGGCTTTTTCTTGTTTTAGTTCTTTACTCTAAGAATCCTATTTGTCAAAATGGCTGATCTGGCTTTATCTCACCAGAAAGAAATGTATCAAAGCTTTCTTATTTAAGTGCTGGGTAAGCAAAAATAAAAAGGAAAATTATTATCAGTTGTTTGGTGGAGCAAAACTTTAACATTGCTGAAAAGACATGTTGCCAAAGCTTCTTATATTGCACCCATCTGGACAAATGCAAGAATGTCAAATTTCTAATGGTCACAATTTTATACTATGTGGGGAGACAATTGCTGTTTGATGGTAAGTTCTTTCTGATTGGCTGAGGTATTGCCATGGGAAAAGCAATCGATTTCTCACCCCTGGGGTAATTCTTAAAAGATACACTGCTTTTGTAAGAATGCACATTATGATGTTACATCTAGCAAGCATAAACAAGCTATGAATTGAGCTCAACCAGTTATATTGATTATGGGTGTAGTTGTTAGTGCACCTGTTTTGGGTGGCACTTGCTGAACAACTTGGAATCATATCTAATGAAATGTTTTGGGCTTTGTAAGTGTGGGCTACTTGTATATGATCTTTACTCTTATACTCTGCCTATTGCACCTAAGGAACATCATCCAGTCGTTGGTATGAACAGCTACATACCTGGCATCTTACTGGTCTAAAATTCATAAGTAACCTTGTTCAATTTGGTCAACAGAACAGCTTTTCAGACTGATGCAGTATCCCATTCATGCAAATACTGTTTGTGTCATCATTGCATACTTACAGCATAAAAGGCTTGCTTGAGCTGCTTGACCACATTTTCTTTTTCTCAATAGTATTTAAGTTATGCCACATTGAAATATTAATATCAAATTAAAGCTATTATGAGTAGAGTATCATTATTATTAAAATTATGTGCATTTCCCCTTTTAGTTTGCCAAGTGGCTGGTCTCCAAGACCTACCAATCAATTCAATGATGGATGCGACTCACGTAGGTGGCTTCTTCATACTATTAACTGAGAAAAAGCAAGTTGCACAGAAGCCTTCAGACTTACTGTGGTTTTCTGCAATTTCTATTAAGAGCAGTCGTATGAGAATTCTGTCTGAGGAAAACAAACTTTGGCAAACTAGAGGACAAGGTAAAAGCTCAAGTTCAAGCAAGCTGAAGCCCCTGGCTGTGGAAATAAAATTCAATGTGCAGCTTGAGTAATGACATCTGAAATTTATTCATTGTTGAGCAAGTGAATGTTCAGTAAGCACTGTAAGAAATTTTGCTTGAAAATCCTTTTTATGTCCTGAGGTTTGGACTGCAAATGATCTTCAATGCATCCCAAATTGCTGTTGTAAAGCTTAGTGTGAAAACATACATTATACATCAACATGTTTGAATTGTGCTATGTCTTATGATATTGAAGACAAGCTATGCAGTTAACAATATTATAAGACAGAAAAAAGCCATTACCATTATAGATCCTTCTAACACTGATTCAGATGTCCTTCACATTTGACATTTTGTCATCTTAGTTTCAATTCTCAACCAGAAGAATCATGCGATCATCTTGCTCAGGAGAATATGAGGATGTGACAAAAGATGCAATTGTTAGCTTAATATTTGAAGATAGTATACAAAGAACAAGACATGGCCTCAGTGTGAGCATGAAAAGGCTTGGGTGAAGGTTTGAACAAGGCTTATGTGGAATGTGCGCTGTAAAAGTTGCTAGGCAAATATAATGTTGGCTTTTATCCAGAAGGGACTGTGCAGGACTTTGGTAACACTGCAGTTAGAATACAGTACAGTACATGAGCAATATTGTCGCTTTTGAAATAGTTCACAAGGGTTCTGAAGGCAGATTTTTAAAGCAAAAGGGTTGGCTTTATGTAAATAGATGGAGCAGGTTGGACCTAAAAGCCATTTTAGTAAAAGCTGAGATTTGGAGAAGCTAGACAAGTAGTAGATGCTGAGAGGATGCCCCCCCCACCAAATTTGAGGGAGAAATCTATAACCAGGGACACGTTTTAAAAGCAAAAAGTAAACTTCCAGCCTTTCAAGCCTGCTGCACTATTGAAAGTGATTTGGCTGGTAGTCAACTTAAGTGTTTTATTTCCTCCACACTAGTTTTGTATGCCTTAATCATTGGCACTTAGAAATCCATCCATCTCTACTTCAGAAGAATCTCTCTGATTGAGCCTCCACAGCCCTCTGAGGTAGAGAATTCCACAAAGATTTATAGCTCTCATAAATTATAATTTCCTTCATCTCTGTCCTAGGTTACTTCCTCCTTGCTTCCAGACTGGTCAACCAGAAAAAAAATACTACCTGCATCTACCCTCCCTATCCTTTTAAGTATTTTGTTGGATTTTAATGAGATGACCTTGTGTCCTTCAAAACTAACAGAATACAGGTCCAATTTCCACAATCTGTGTTGATATTTGACAGAGTGTGGCATCAAAGAGCCCTCGAAAAATTACAGTCAGTGGGAATCAGGAGAAATCTCTCCATTGGTTAGAGTCAAACTTGGCACAAAGGATGATGGCTGTAGTTGTTGAAGGTCAGTCAGATCTCAGCTCCAATACATCTCTACAGGAGTTCTTCAGGGTAGTGTCCCAAATCCAACAATCTTCAGCTGCTTTGTCAATGACTGTCTCTCCATTATCAGGTCAGAAGTGGGAATGTCCATTATAGACTGCACAATGTTTAGAGCCATTCATGATTCCTCTGATACTAAAGTAATCCATGTCTAAATACAGCAAGACATGGACAATATCCAGACTTGGGCTGAAAAGTGATAATTAACAGTCATGCAATGCAAATTCCAGGAAATAACCATCTGTGATCAGGGACAATCTGATCAGCGCTCCTTGACATTCGATAGTGTTAACCATCATTGAATCCCCCATTATCAGCATACAGGAGTTACCAGCCTCAAGAAACTGACTGGACTATCCACAAAAATACAGTGGCTGAAAGGACAGATCAAAGGCTAGGAATCCTGCACTAAGTAACTCACCTCCAGACTCCTCAGAGCCTGTCCACCATCTGCAAGGTACAGTTCAGGATTGTGATGGAATAACTCCCCACTCGCCTTGATAAGTGAAGCTCCAACAATACCGAAGAAGC